TGTTGCTGAAGACGTTACCATATACCGCCGCACTCTTTTGCCCTTGCCATGGTGTCTTGCAACGCGCTCGGTGAGTCGAGTGCCCTTTTTACGCCATCTGCCGTTTTCGTTCGTCGCAAGTGTTCACCGCTACCTCATGCCCTTTTGGAACTTCATGGCGGCGTCAGCAGACTGCTCATCTCAAATCTGCTGTCATGTCCTGTAACACTACTTCGGGGCGAGTGCGTAGGGCGTGTATACAGTATCGACCCTTCTGCAATTATCGACATGCCGACTGGTTCTTTCGCCAAAAACAAAGTCGCTGGATTGACCTGTGCCTCTTCGCCGCAGAGTACTAAACCTCACATACTGAACAGTTCCATCGCCGACACGGTAAATGTTTCGCAACGTGCTCAGCTTCTATGACTCCTTAACAAGTTCCGTTCTTCCTTTGACTGCCAGCATAGTCCCCTCGGCCGCACGTCAGCTGTGTGTCACCGCATCGACTCAGGCACCAACGCACCACTGCGTCAAAGACCCTATCGCGTGTCCGCGACAGAGTGCCAGGTTATCGGTGACCAAGTAGCTGACATGCTCAAGCATGGCGTCATCGAGCCATCGAATAGCCTCTTGGCATCTCCAGTCATTCTCGTTAAGAAGAAGGATGGGTCAATTTGCTTCTGTGTTGACTACCGTCGTCTTAACAAAATAACTCGAAAAGACGTTAAGCCCTTACCGAAAATCGACGATGCCCTTGACTGTCTCCAAGGTGCAAAGTTTTTCTCTTCTATTGACTTAGGAGCGGCTACTGGCCAGTCCCTTTGGCGCCTAAAGATCAGCTTAAAATGGCCTTTGTCACGCTTGAAGGCCTTTACGAATTCTGCGTCATGCCTTTCGGTCTTTGCAACGCACCCGCAACATTCGAGCGGATGGTGGACAATCTTTTGCGTGGCCTAAAGTTGAAAACATGCCTGCGCTACTTAGATGACGTGGTTATATTTTCGCCAGATTTTCCCACGCATCTCCGCAGGTTAGATTAAGAACTACAGTGCCCAACTGATGCCGGCCTTCAGCTCAACCTGAAAAAATGCCGCTTCAACGCAAGTCAGCTCACAATCCTCGGCCATGTTGTCTCTAAAGACGACCTTATTCCTGACACCACCAAGCTTCAGGCAGTTGCAGAGTTCCCTAAACCTGCATCTCTGAAAGATCCGCGCAACTTTCTTGGCCTCTGCTCGTATTTCTGCCGCTTTATTCGGAATTTTGCGATGAATTTTGTTACTGAACTTTTACGGAATAACTCGAAAAGTTACGCTTGGTCACCTACCTGTGATAATGCCTTCAAAAAGTAGCGCCACTTGTTAACCTCACCACCAATCTTGCGTCACTTCGACCCGACCGCTCCGATTGAGGTACATACCGATGCCAGCGGCGTTGGACTCGGCGCCGTGCTCGCGCAGCACAAATCGGGTTTCCAGGAGTACGTAGTCGCATATGCAAGCCGTACCCTCACCAAAACGGAGAATAATTATTCTGTGACAGAGAAGGAGTGTCTACCTATATGGTCACCCTTTCGACATAGTCACCGATCACCATGCACTTTGGTGGTTATCCACGTTGAAGGACCGCTACGGCCGTTTAGCTCGCTGGGCTTTGCGGTCGCAAGAGTTTGACATGCGTGTTGTCTACAGGTCTGGCCGAGGTCACAGCCCCGCCGTGGTAGTCTAGTGGCTAAGGTACTTGGCTGCTGACCCGCAGGTCACGGGATCGAATCCCGGCTGTGGTGGCTGCATTTCCGATGGAGGCGGAAATGTTGTAGGCCCGTGTGCTCCGATTTGGGTGCACGTTAAAGAACCCCAGGTGGTCGAATTTCTGGAGCCCTTCACTATGGCGTCTTTCATAATTATATGGTGGTTTTGGGATGTTAAACCCCACATATCAATCAATCAATCAATGGCCGACGTTACACTGATGCTGATGCCCTATCGCGTTCACCTGTATCATCGGAAAGCTCTGCCTGTCTATCTGCCATGGACGAAACGGTTGCGTTTCCAGCAAACTGCGACATGGCATATGAGCCATGTTGCAGTTTGCTGTCGCATTGCATGTCGCATCTAAGGATGACTGAATCAGCGCTCTTTTGCGATTCCTTTCAGGCCCATCAACTTCTCCATCTTCTCGAACATTGCGCTGTCAAGCGGTTCACTTTGAGCTCCGCGATGGCCTCCTTTATCGCAGGAATTACAAGTCTGACGGCCGAAAGTGGTTACTGGTCATACCTCGCCATCTTCGTGCTGCAATATATTCAGCTTTCCACGCTGACCCTCTGTGCGCACATCCGCGCATCATCAAAACATAAGCTCGATCTTCCTCCCGGTTTTATTGGCGAGGCATGTACACCTTTTTGCGCAAGTACATTCATTCATGCCCACACTGCCAAGGACGGCAAGCTCTGCCTCATCGCACCTCTGGTCCGATCCAGCCAATCCCTTGACCAGCCAGGCCTTTCGACCGCATTGGAATCGATCTGCATGGGCCTCTTCCATTTACGGCTTGCGAAAACCGTTGGATTGTTGTCGCTGTCGACTACTTGACGCGATACGCAGAAACAACTGCTTTGCCTGCTGCCACAGCACGCGACGTATCATCTTTTCTCCTGCAGAACTTCATTCTCCGTGATGGCGCACCGCGTGAACTTCTCAGCGACAGAGGACGTGTATTCCTCTCTGAAGTCATTAACGCACTCCTTGCCGAATGCCGTATCATTCACCGGACTACCACCACATACCACCCCCAAACGAATGGCTTGACGGAATGATTGCACCGTACCCTTGGCGACATGATATCTAAGTATGTTGCCTCAGACCACTCCGATTGAGACCTAATTCTGCCTTTTGTGACATACGCATACAATACTGCTCCACAGGCGACTACGGGCTGTTCACCATTTTTCCTGTTATGTGGCCGAGACCATTCCACTACGCTAGATACCATTCTTACCTACCACCCCGATTCCTCCGACATTACGCCCATCTGTGAAGCTGCCCACTGCACCAAGGAATGCCGTAAGCTCGCCCACCAAGGAATGCCGTAAGCTCGCCCAGTCGTTCACAACCATCGACCAATGCAGGCGAAAATCTCGGCGTGACGATAACCACCCGTACCCGAACTTTGTTCCAGACACCCTTGTGTGGCTTTGGGCTCCAGCTAACCCGACAGGCCTTTCTTCGAAACTTGTTTCAAAATACCAGGAACCCTACCGCGTTGTCTCGCAGACTTCACCTGTTAACTACATCGTCAAACCCGTTACGCCATCCACACACCAGCGCTTTCGAGGTCGTGAAATTGTTCACGTACAGTGGTTGAAACCATATTATGATCCGCTCGCACTCTGTTCTCCGTGAGTCGTGAGGATGGCTCTTTTTCCGACGGGGGAAGATATGTAGTGGAGAGGAATGCCCACTACCGCACTGACATCGACACGTTGGCGCGAGCTAGGAGTGCCTGGTTGCTGCTGCAACGACGTCCGTATACTCGGCCAGCTCTTGCTGCTTCTGTACTGAGGCTGTTACCACTTTTCGCCTTGCATTTACATTATACTTCTACTGACAGTCATTGTGCGTGCTCTCTGCACATGTCGTATACCTTATGCGGCACTTCACAGAGCTCTCATTGGCCTGCATGACACTCGTTTAGATAATTTTATGGTGAGTTTGACAACTGGTGCGCAAGCTCTCATAGCACTGCCTGGCAAGCAAGCGCTCTTTCCACGAAAGGGCGTCTGCTATGCAAGAACAAGGCAGGCGGCGCCACGTTCAAAAAGATAATGTAAAGAAGACTGCGCGGGAGCACTCTGAAGAGAGTATGACACGCTCTCGCTGTAATTGTTGGGTTTCAATTATAGGTAGCATCGGTTGTTGCCCAGTTATTTAACGCATGGTTTTGCAAGAATGCGCCACAGTCTGTAGTTCACAATTGGGAGAAAACGTTTTGTACCCTGCTGCAATACGCCCCGGGGTATAAGATGTGAAAAAAAAGTTTTCCTTGTTTTGTGCAACAAAAGACTGCGATCTTCTGGACAAGTGGTGGCGGGCAGTCCTCATGAACGATTAGGTCCTTCATTCAACTGTTTTTGCCTGCAAAAAACATTTCGAGCTCAAATGTGTGTGCAAAGAATGAACAACACTACCATGACCTCGGCCCGAGGTACATGCCGCAAAGGGGGACATTGTCAAGGGACACTGTGCCGATAAAGTTCCCTGCCTGGCATACCCGACTAATGTGAGAAAAAAAAATTGCATTAGCTGCCAAGCTGCTAAGTGCAAAGAACCAATTTGTTCTGCTGAGGTTTTTAATAGAGTGTCGCTACCGCTCGTCTCTAGGTATACATGTATTTTACTGTCTTGGTTAGCCATAGTTTTGTTTCTCTGCAGTTTGTGCAGCTTATGTGACGTGACGTACTCTGCTGCGGTGCCTCATGCATGCTCACATAAGCAAAGACACAATCGCCAAAGTTAGAAAATATATTTGTTACAGAAATTGCTTGAGTGTGTGAGTAATGTGAGTCCAGCTAAACCTCTGGTCCTGCGATGATGTACAGGCACTATTTTACAACTTAAGACGACACAAACCACTGCATCACAGGCCCTTACAAAAGTAATTGTGGGTACCGCAGCCTGCAGTTGTCAACATATGTAAATAACACTTTCAGTGTTGACAGAGCACGTGTAGAATACGGAAACTAAATTCCAATATTCATTTCAAAAACAAAAGCAAAATAAAAACATGTTTGACTCTCCCTTTAGCTTCGTTGTGCTACAGAACAAAACCATCTCTCTAGTGGGGCATACATGTTGCAGGTGCCTATTATACAAGTGTGTATGTTGATTTTCAGGCATTTTTATGTAACTGGTGTGCTCGCATGGGTATCTGTGTATTACAGCCGTGCCTGTGGCGACAGCCTACATTCGTTTCTACTTTCACAGCATGAGCAGGTAATCGCAAGAACTTCGACAAAGGGAAAAAATGTCAACAAATCCATTTTATTGCCCTCAATGGTTCAGCTGCGCTTTCCTTATACACATATGGCAAGCCGACAATACCCTGGGGCACAGCTCACTACGTATTGCGCCATCTATTGCAGAAGGAGCACAGCCTTATTGATTTGCCTAGCAAATCTGGAGACCAGTTCATACACTTCTTATTTTTCCACTGTGGCATGTACTTCCGATGTTGGCAACATTGCAGAACTCCTCGCATGCGATCAGGTCGCCATCAGCTCACACACAAAGTCATGCAGCTCAACAGCGCCTTGTGCCGCTCCATTGGCACTGAAATGCCAAACAACACTGCACATAAGCAAATTGTGCGAGGTCTCGGCATGCGTATGGACAGAACCACATCAGCAAAAAGTTAGGCAGTTTATAGAACATATATCGAAATTATGGCACTTTATATGTCATGTGCTGACGTAGTTGTCAACAGAAGCATTAGCAAAAAGTAATCTCTTAAAGAAAAAGAAGTGATTTTGCTATCATCATTATTCAACCAGTTAAAAACCAATCTTTGCACCAATGTCTTTTGGAAAATACCCAAGTGCCCGACTTGTGAAATGAGCGGCGCTGCAATTTTTTTACATCTACTTTTTCACATAGTTTACGAGTCTAAAAAAAGTCGCATATTACTAACATGTATTGTAGGAGTGCTTTTAAAATCTCTTTGCTGTTGAGAGAGAGCAAACACCTTGTACTCAATTGATGTTCATCGTGGACGTTATATTTCTTCATCGCTATGAGAACTTCATTCTTCAGGCCTTCCGTTATGGAGGGGTATCACTGTAAATGTGCTCCTCTGTGTTCCAGATGCTGGGGTGCCTGCTACATGCGGCCATCAAGCAAGCAAGCAAGGACCTTGAGGCAAGCCACAATGGAGCATTAAGCAGCAGTACCAGAGAGAAAAGGACCACAAGAAGCTTTTATTCCAGCGCGGTGATCAGTCAGAAGGGCTGGCGCAGTATTGGAATAATGTAACCGATTTCCGAGCTCTTTCCGCAGACCCTATGCCTGTTGCAGCCCCCGTTTCTCCATACAATGAAATGTGGTCGGACGTAGCACGGAAGTCTGCGTCTGCTACCATGCAATGTCACAGTGCGATGTCAGTGACACCTAAGGTCGCAGAAACAGACACTGCTCATGTATACCCTTCACTGCCAATAACTGCAGTGGCAAGCACCAGGCCTTCAGCTGTGACTATTGTCGCTCAAGTAAAGTGGCGCCCTTTGCATGCTCCTGCACTTGTAGGTGGTGTGTGAATGCAGCACAAAGTGACGAAGGCTAGGCGTACTGCCGTGCCACTGTGCTCTGCTGCTTTTGAGCAGAGCCCAGCTTCTGACTGTTGGCCACCCGACGCCTGCGGTGTAACATGCACGGTGAGCCCCCAGTCAGAAGGTGTGGTCCTGCGCAAGGGCTGCAGTGTGGCTGACACCAGCGCTTCCTCACTTCGTGGTGATCACCATGTAGAGAAGGAGGTTAAGGCTGAAAATAAGAAAGGGAGCAGTAACAAGAAACCAGTTTCTCCTGCTCTTGTCAGTGCTGCAAGTGTGCCCCACAAAGTGACGAAGGCTAGGCGTACTGCCGTGCCACTGTGCTCTGCTGCTTTTGAGCAGAGCCCAGCTTCCGACTGTGGGCCACCCGACGCCTGCGGCGTAACATCCACGGTGAGCCCCCAGTCAGAAAGTGTGGTTCTGCGCAAGGGCCGCAGTGGGGCTGACACGAGCACTTCCTCACCTCGTGGTGAAGACCCTGAACAGGAGCAGAAAGCAAAATCAGCAAAATTGCCACACAGTCATATTTGCAGAGGTGGAGGAAATCTTTCTGTAGGGAGCAAGTTCAGCACTTAGAAGGATTTTAAAGCTAGCTTTGAAGGATGGAAAATTGAGGAGTTCCATCCGATGTGTATTGAAAAATCGGATGAAAACCCATTGTGTGCTGAGAAAGATATAAACAAGGCAGACTTTCTGTGAGTTCTAGTTAAGTTTGTCTGTTGCCACACAGGGTATCCAAACTTGAGGGGACAAAATATTCGGCCCAATCAACGCTTCAATGGTACAGGTTGCAACATTGAACTTAAGCTTGCGCTGCGGGTTTCTCTACAGCCCTATTATGACGTTGTAAATTTAGTGAATGTGCACAACCATAAAATAGGTCCCAAGAATTTTGTATGGCACAATAATAATCGTGCATTTAGTGTGGTCTGAAAAAGAGCAACTTCAGGACTTGATTTCTTGTAATGTGAAACCTAAAGACCTAAAGGATGCCATTCTGAAGAAAACGGGAAAACACCTTACTTCTCGTGATATTACAAACTTTAAGCATAGAACAGTTCGAAAAATTCAGGACAATGCTCATCATGGAGCCCTTCTGTTAGAAAAAAATCAATGAATTGTTTTCTGAAAACTCTAGGTGGAAGGTTCATATTAAAAAGAATACAGAAAATGGGCTCTTGTACATATTGCTTCAATCAGAGAATATGATCCAGTTACTAGAAAAATACCCTGAAGTGTTGTTCTTTGACGGTATGTATAAAGTTAATAAAGAAGGGTATATCTTGCATTCGATTCTGTGTGAAGGTGGAACAAGCCATGTCAGGCCTGTATGTTATGCGTTTGTTCAGCGGGAGCCATCAGAAATATAAAGTCTTTCCTAGAGACATTCCTTTGTTTTAATCATGTCATAGAGGAGAAGTGCAAAATTGTGGCAATGGACGAAGATTTAAATGAAATTAATATATTTAAGCAGCTTGTGCCCAAATGTAGAATCTTGTTGTGTTCATGGCACGTGTTCAAGTATTTACACACCAAAGTGATGCAGCATAAGTCAAACAGTCTAGATAAAAAGGTATGTTAAAGATATAACTATGAAACTGGTTTTTGCACATACTGTAGATATATATCAAGAGCACTTGCAGGACTTGAAAGCCCTCCTTGAGTACTTTTATAAAAAATTGGCACTGCTGCAAGAGCATGTGGGTTCATGCTTATCGTGCAAATGAATGTAGTTTAAGAAATAATACTAACAATCGAATAGAAAGCCATAATTAAAAGTTAAAGAATTATATAACACGTGAAATGCACTTAGAGGAAGCAGTAAAAGCTTTGATAAGGTATGTGACCCATGATGCTCTCACACTCAGCCATACGCAATATAAAGAAGTGAAAACTTGCATTGACACCAGTAAGGCTGTAAGTTTTGCGTTGAAGTGTCAGCGAAATGCACCAAATATGCTAAGAAATTGGTATGTAAAGAATATGGGCTGTTTATGAATATCCAAGAGACTGTGTTGTCTCATATGGCAAATGCATCATTTTTGTTGGCAGTAAGCTTTATAAAGTTCCTAATAATCTGACGACATGCATATGCACATTTGACGCGCAGTACCAGATGCCCTGCAAGCACATTCTTGCAGCTAGATCAAAAAATAACGTGGAACTGTTTGATGAAAAATGTTTGACAAAGCGTTGGCTTAAATCTGATTTTGTGCAGACTGACCTGACAGTGTCACCACACAAACTAAGCATTTTAACCACAAGCATGGTGAAAAAGGTACAGCGAAAACTTGATAACTCAGAGGCCAGATATAAATATGCATATGCACGTCTGTTGGAACTTTCAAAGGAAGCTGCTAATGTACTAGCCCAATGTAGCGCAACTGAACTTTGTGAAAAATTGAGCGAGTGTGAGGACTTTTTCCAAAATGTTGTTACTTACCCTAGAAATAAGAAACATGATTCACCCCTTCCTAAAATAGCACATAGTAATGAACAAGTTAGTGGGGAAGGAAACGGCTTAGAAAAGTCAAAAGAAGTAATTACCTGAGTGTAGACCTGAACGACTATCTATTGGCCAAGTCTGTAGATGATGACACTACAGAAGATAAATCAGAATTGAAAGAACAATCTGGTCAAGTTAAATCAGATTCAAAATATGAAATTAACTTTGCTATAGCCTCGCATGATAATAAGGTATGTCAGGTTTTAGCAAAGACATCGGATACTAGCTCTTCGCCTAGTAATCTTGCACAGCAACTGACAGCGCTTAGCATACCTCTAGTTAAATGCTCGCAGCCAACCACGTAAGAGATGTGCACATGATACGAAGCGGGGAGAAAAAAAGACTATGCCTGCATGTTTTGAAAAACTCAATTTAAAGAGAAGGCATCTGTGACAGTCGTTGGTAAAAAAGTGGAAGAAATTAGTGACCCTATAGCTGATGCAATTTGTGGTCCAAATAATTGCAACTGGTACAAATTAAGTTCCTCTAATTTAGTGGCCTTACGAGGCACAGGATGGCTGTCAGATGCATTATAAATGCAGCGCAATTTATTATTTTGCATCAGTTTCCTGGTCTGTGCAATTATCAGGATGTTCTTCTTGGGGAGAGCTTGAAATTTAAGAAGCGAAACAACTTTATTCAAATTCTGCATATTCCTGGGCTTGGGTTACAGTGACAAATTATGGTGCCCCTACCGACAGTGTTTTTTTTTTTTTTTTGTATGGTTCGTTAGACCAGGACATCATGCCAAGTGTAGCAACTCAGATTATGAACATAATGAGTCTAGCTTCTAACACTCCTACCAATCACGCTAAGGCAGTGCAGCTCAAGAGAATTTTTATGACTGTGGCATTTTTGCCATTGCTAATGCATTCACCATTGCATCTGGCGTCAACTTGTGCACCGTTGCTTTCTATAAGACCTTAATGCGCAGGCATTTAATATCATGTCTTGTAGACAATGAGATGGTGCATTTCCCTATTGCTACAATGCAAGTGGCCTGGGTAAAACCAAAATCAAGTTGCTTTTTTGTTCCAAAGCAATATTTCATGTTTAAACCATTCAAAAAATCAGCCTTTAATGGAAACCATATAGTTCTATAGCTGCTGATTTGAGACCTTTCTATAGATTCCAACTCTAAGTTATTAATATACTCTGTCATCATCATAAGCATTGCTTATAAGCCTTAAACCATTTTCGGTGTTGTTTGATAGAGAAAAAATATTGCAGCTGTACTTCTTTTTTCAGTTAAATGCTCGTTGATAAGTTTTTTAAGCAAGGAAAGTTGGGAACCACATTATCACGCAGAGGTGACTGCAGTTAAGGAATGTTTCACTTTTGCTGCTTGTGTGCTACACATAAAAGTTCTTTATGAATTAAATGCAGTTGTATCTCAAAGTGTCTGCACAGGGCAAACTTTAAAGTTTTCTGCTACTCACTGTACTTACACTATCGTGCACAAAAAATAACTATAGATACCATAATTTTTTATAACCCTTACTCACATTGCTTTTATAAAAATAGTCTTAAGTTACCTATTTTTATAAACAGAGCTGATAATTTTGCCATGTATTTTTTGCCTGCTACTACATAAAGTAACAAAGGATGTTGAAAATTACATTTGTGATTTCTACGTAGTATATGTCCTCGGCACTCGCTGAAGATAACAGTCGTGAGTGAAAACCTTGAAGTTCCACTGCATTATAATGGACCTTTCCAGAAATTGGCACGCGCCACCTAGGCTGGCCGCAAAGCATTATGGGAAGACGGAGCGCCAGCGGAGTGTCGTCTGCTCGCGGAAGCATTGGCTCACCTTGTTTCCCGCAGGGCACGGGCGTACGAACGCATCCTTGCGGGAATATTGTGCGTGATAACCCTGCTTCAATCTGCACTAACATAAGAGGCACAACGCGGAGCAACATAAAGTCAGCAAACTTATTAGAGACCCAGGAAAATGCTAACATACCCACGAAAGAGCCCATTGAATTGGAAACATTAAGCGGCTTTCGCAGCGAGCCCGTTTGCTTCGTTGGTCGTATTTCCATGTAGCGGAAGCTTTTCTCTTTTGTTCTATTGTCAGCATGACCGTAAAGCTTTACTATTAGTACTTTATGTTAAGCACTATCACTCATGAGTCATGATATGCTTCTGCGTGATACGCGGTGCAAGACCGTGGCACTTCGTGCATGATAATCAATGTCGAAATTCGACCCTTATAAATGGGTTTGAGCCCCACTATGCTGGTGGATCAAAATTCCAATTGCCTGTTTTCAAATGCCGTGCCTGAAAAACTTTGCACTTAGGACACCGAGAGTATAGTAAAAACCAGCTACCAACACCCCCATAGAGCGGATATCAAGTGAGTACTGTCGTATGCAGAGATTACATAGTTACAGCGCAGTGTCGTACTTCATAAAGCTAGAATATTCTTTACATTTGACTTCGCAGTATTTTTTGTGAAACAGCACAAAACATGCTGACTCTGTGTCGTTCCTGTTAAGAACTTAAAATTTACGACCTGACTGCGCAAAAGGTAACAATAGGAAGAAATATATAACAGAATAGGCGTTAGTGTGCAGAATTTGCAAAATATTCTATTTTACAGCTTGAGCTCCCGTGATCCCCTGTTTCGTTACAGTTTATGGTTATGCTAATTTAGTAATTAGTCGTTTTGATTCAGATGGCTCTACAAGCCGCAGAAAACATACAGTTGTTCCTGTCACCTTTTCCACTAGATCGCGCGTTCGGAATTCAGTCAAGGGCGTCTTTACTTGGCTTTCACTTGACTTTACGCTAGAAAGTTTCTCACAAGCTTAAATTTTTGTGAGAAACTCGATGCTTGACAATTTGCTCAACTCAAGTAGTTACGATGGAAGCAACAATACCTTCAATCAGTAATGGGGCACAACCCAACATCAGTGTCCCACCACTTGTTGAAGGCAACGCTTTTCCTTCATTCAATGAATAAAAATAATAAATACGAAGTAACAATTAAGCATTCTCAAACCATACCCAAATTTACAAAACATTCAGGCGATGCCCCCTCCACTTGGCGAAGCAATTACTCGAGTGCCCTCCGTGGGAAGATGCGGGCAGCTTTTTTAAATGCGGAGCATTTTGATGTCGCGCTTCGGCATCGGCGGTGGCGCCGTCCACACCCCTCACTGCGCATGCTCGCGTCTTGTGCCGGCCCAGGAAGACACCCACAGAACTGTCACTCCCCTCCCTCTCTCTCGCCTCTCAAGGCCAACGCACATGGACATAACTGCATATATCCTCAATAAGATTTAGTGGTACTTTTGGTGCTTACATCACACACCTAGTCATACTTAAATATGATGTACCTTTCTCATGGCTGTTATTCAAAACAATATCAGGTGCCCAAATGTGAATAAACTTTGTGTTATTTTGGTCGTTGTATCCTTTAGTTTCTACACTAAGAAGAAACAGTTATGCATTGCATTTTTTTTTTTTCAGTACTCTTCTAGCTGTTCACTGTAGTTGCAGTCAAAGGAGCGACTTCGAGTATCGATCAAGGGTAATGGTTATTTTTGTGATGGTCGCACAGACTGCCGTCAGTTTTGATGAATTGGCCAGGTTTTACCAAAGTTCCTCCACTTTTCCAGCAAGGACCCAATTCCCTGACTTTTCCAGGTTGGTAGACACCATGCACAAATAAAGATAGATGGCAGTTAACTCGCGTTCTGTGTTTCTTGTCTTATTTGAGGGTCATTATGCACTTTATTACCTTAGAAATACTTGTTGCTGGGCTGGTTGGTATAACATTATTAGGCGAAATTCTATACGATGCGAATGTGTGGTGCGATGTAAATATTTTCTGTAGTTTATCTGCGAGTGACCCTCTTTCCCCGTGCTTTTTAATTTTTCCTGTGGTGCTTAGACATCTAGAATTTTCCCCCTTAGCTTAATTACCTCCCTGAAGCTATGCACCCTCTCGCCCATTAACAACCATGGCTAAACTATTGTATGTGGCATTGTTGATGCAAAATTACCTTAGAGTATATCCTAGAGCTCCTGCAGGATCACCGGCTGAATGTGACAACCAGTTCACCATTTATAGGACACGAAGTGCTGACATTTTGAATATCACTGTTCGCACAGTGCTTCATTGGAGTCATGCAAGCTTAAAATATCGTGCTCCCACAAAGAATTTTTTTTTCTTGTGCTGTGACCAACGAGAAAACTATGTAGACAATAACGAAAAGAGATCACAGCTAGGCCTAACGGTGCAATGTATGCCTCAATAAATTAATGCAATAAATTAGTGCAAGTGTGCTTATATCACCAAGGTGTTGCCGGTTTATTACTACATTTGATATGAACCTCTGCTCGTTCCACCATGGTGTTACTGTGGGTGTACACAGTCTTACCTCTGAGGCAGCACTGCCAGAACTAACTTCTCTGTCACAATCTTGAACAGGTGTGTGTCAAGAATGAGCCAGTGCAACGAACACAAGAGAAGTGGTCACCGCTTACACGTTCAAGGTCCTATGCACGCACACCGGACTATGACTTTACAGTGTCTTACATTTTCAGAGGAGTATACATCGTGATGGCGGGAGCTATCTCTGTATAATGTGCATATCTCATCTCATATGAACATGCATATCTTATATCTCATTGTACACATTATGACAGCTAGACTGTCACAATGTGCATATTGTTGCTTGAGATAACTGTTTAGGACAAAAAAAAAGGGCACCGTGGAAAAAAAATATTTTTAGACTAATGTAAGGGCTTGTGGTGAGGAGACTCTCAAAAGGTATATGTTGCGTCATGTTGCAATAGAGGAGCAACATTTATACCTTGTTTATGTTAGCAGGAGTCTGCTAAACATTGGCCATACAAACTTGTGGCTAGAGAAGGATGATGTCCAGAAGATACCCTCCTGAAATGTTAACCTGCACCGTCCTCCCTTGCCCTTCTTGGTGCACCGGAAGTTTTGCCCTCTAGGAACTAGTTCCTTCAGTGGGTGCTCTTGAAGGGCTTGTGAATAAGCTCACTTTTACCACCTGCTTTACCCAAGGGCCAATCTTGCTGTTGGAACTTGTTTGCTTGGCAGGAATTTTTTAACAGGAAAAGAAACCTCAATCGTTAAACAAATAAAGCTATAGCATTGCAAGATTACTATGATGTTATGTACACAGACCTCCCACATACAACTCCCTAAAATGTCGCCAATTACCTCTATGGTGAGCCTGATTAAGCCTTAAGAAAGCATGTAAGTTTGTTGATGCTATACTTTTCAATCATTACATAAACCTTGAAAAAACGAGATCGCCACGTGCAGTGCATAAAACCAGTGCTTATGAACTGCAATGATGCTATCGGAAGCATCAGAAAAAGTAAATTCACTTTGCTAGAAAACAAATTCTGCATGAAGCCTGTAAATGCACTGTTAACAAAGTGTTCTCGACAACTTTATTACTTCTATTTCTGTAATTTGCATAATCCTGTCTCATGCATACCTTGCTGTTCACACAATAATTATTGACCTCTGAGGTGTTACTCAAGTGACCATGCTCATTTAACATACCTGCAAGCCTCAGTGCTAACCTAGCAAAATTGGAGACTTTAATAAAGCAATGCTCTCTGCTGCTTACCCCTCCAAAAAAAATGTTTAGCATCCCCTTCAAACCTGTTTTTTTAAAGACTCAACAGGCAAAGTGACATGACTCATGAAAGGCATTTGCGGAGCTTCTGGCACTACTAAAATCTCTTTGGAGCAGCATAACAGCTGCCTGAAGCTTTGAAGCTAGAGCTGTTGCACCGCATGTCACAGGGAACCAGTTCATGAACATATGCATGCGTGTTCACTTGGACTTCTGCAAAACATAAACGTAGGCTTTTTGCTTTTTTGCAGACATCCCCAATTTACATCAAGCTACCTAGCACTTTCCGGGAATTCACTTGGTATTTGTAAATGACTCTAGCTTTCAGTGATAGTTTAGCTACAATATTGAAGCACGGACTAGTAAGACTTTTTATGCATTCTACTTACTTTTCACAAAAAAAAAGAGGTCCGATTATGTTAATGCTTTTATTAGTACAACCTAATTGTTCAATGTGTGGAGAAGTGTTTGCTGTCGTCGTTTATGTACAGAATTGTTAGGTTCCTGATTAATGAGCGGTTCATAAAGAAAAAAAGGGTTTTGTAGCTGGTTTGCACTACCCATTATTTATTATGGCTCGACAAAATTTAGAGTTATGGGGGAGTAAGTAGTTACATTTGGCAAGTGTTTGACATGTACAGTCGTTGAGGTCGAGAAGCCCAGCCGAGGCATACCGGAATAGTGGGACACCATGCCTTCTAAGCAAAGTAACAGTGATTGTACAGCATGCGGTACTGCTGATAAAATTTGCCCACTGTGTGGAATTGGAACATAACCACCCAGTATGAAATATTTTGAAACTGTAAGAGGACCACAAACTAAATTACAAAATTAACTAAATGGTCATTTTTATATGCAGCTACTAAATTACTGCATTTTAATACAGTCAGTCAAGCAAGACTGCTGTCCAAGCACAACTAGCTCATTATTACTTTTATCTGACATTAACCACAACAGTTAGAAACTATTTGAAGTCACTTGGTAACTTTTGTAGTATAAACGGGTTGAAATTGTTAAGAAAGTTTGTGCCCAGCAACTTTTTTCAACTACATTGCACGTTCATGCCTACTGTGATGACATCTCCAAATCGCAGGCGTAATGTATGCATTTCAAGCACATGCCATATACTTGCTCCGTGAGAGAACACAACAACGAAGAGCATGCTTAACACAAATAATGAAATTTTTGAAAAACATCTGGCAGGTTTCGCCTCTTTTGGTGCTGATCCCTGCAGGCACTTACCAAATTACCACCCCATTTTGCCAACAAGCAGCCCGTGTATGACGTTCGAACATGCGCTATCATGTCGAGTCATCACCAGTTTCCTCGAACCACCTTGCTGTTCTGGCACGACATAGGTTTCAAAGATTTATTTCTTGCAAACTTTGCTTATAATTGTAGACTATTCTTCAACAGTTATTTTCGTGGTTACTCGATATGAAAACCATGAGCTACGAATTTTCTAAGTTTCTATAATATGAATGGTAATAGAGTTGTGAATGGTAATCTACACCCAGCCTTAGTATATATTCCCTTTATAATCATTTTCAATTTGAGGCATGGCACAAAATTTGGATTACGACTGAAGCCACTCATATGCATGTTTCGTTTATTTGAAGGTGTCATGCAACAATTTTGAATTAATCCTGCAATGAACTAAAATCTGAATGCCTTGCGAATTGCCTGCCACAAAATGTATTTTACTAAGTAAATTGTTATGGGCTTATTACACAATTTCAAGATGATGATGATACTGACTGCCGCATCGTTACTGATGAGACAGAGGATAGCGCGTGTACAATTTAGGTGCGCACACACGAGGCCCAATGCCAGTGCTACATTTCCAATTTACACACGAGCGCGCGCAATATGTATGCTTTACCGCAATACACTGCGTCCACTTCGCCGCAAGCCACGACTGTTTTGCGGCATTGTTGAATTTAAAAAAAAAAAAGACACTTAAGGGGGCAATTTTGAGTGCCTAGCATATTTTTAGTTTTATTTCCCTTGTATACACCTACAAGAACAGACATAGTTTAGAAAACCAATTATCGTCATCGGCGACAGCATATTTAAGCCACTTGGACAATAACGTCGTGTGAACACCTGCTACCTGCTAATGTTTCATCGCTTCCAACTTGTGCATTTCGTATCTGTCTCATGCAGTTAGGCAAGACAAAGCTTCAATGAAAATTTTGGCACAAGCATACACTTCACCCAAGCGACACCGACAGCAATCGATCCTCACGCAAAACACGCACTTACCAGAAATACACGTACGGCATACATCCCCAAATAGCATAACACACAGTGTTCATGGTCGGGCAAGTCGTTACCACATTGCTTATAGACAGTATTACAGAACGAGACCACGTACCCATGCGCAGAGGCGGTTCTCGCGAATGCATACAGCTCTCGGTCAAACAAAGACCACGGAGAAATAACCACCGCACGGTAAACATCCTCGCGAGTTTGTGAGGAATTTTTACGGTATACCTTTCGTTTTCACCACCTAAACCTCCCCAGAAAATTTCCAACACAGCGATTCTGTCGCCATCTATTCATACACTTTTAAGCCAAGTCAAGCCGGTTTTAAGCGACTATTGGGTGAATAGAGCGTTTTGCTCATCAAAACACTCGTGCCACCCGGGGGCAGCAGATGCGACCCATTGAATGTAGCAGCGACGATGATGACCCGGACTGGGAGTTACCAAAGCCCCATGTTGCGGCTGCCGATGACGAAGAGGAGCAAAGTCAAGAAGACCTTGATGATGCTGCTGACACGATCGCGCAAACTTCAGCATGTGCTACACGAAGTGCACCATCAGGCAAATATATCTATCTGGAAGGAAGAGCTCTTTGAAGAAAAGTCGCTCCCATCCTTCGAATACGATCTCAGTGAGCCGCCGAGTAACGTGCACGCGCCACTTTGACGACTCTTTCTTCCAAAGTGCCACAGAGAAGACCAACACGTACTGCATGTCGACAACTGGTAAAATACTCAAAGCAACTCCACAGAAAATTCGGCAACTTTTTGGCATGCGCATAATTATGGGATGTATCCGCCTTCCGAACATTCACATATATTGACTCAGTGGCTATCACTTGACCAAGTGACTAACGTGATGCCACGTGAAGAGTTCAAAACACTGAGGTCATGCCTAAATTTCAGGGACACACAAATTCCGCCAAATAAGCCAGAAGAGAACCGGCTGTGGAAAGTGCAGCCAATCATTGATGCTGTGCGCAAGCGCTACTACCAACTGCAGAGAGCACCTGTCAGTTATACAATCGACAATCAAATCATTCCGTTCTCTGGCAGATGCTCGCTTCGGCAATATGTGAAGGGTAAACCAAGGCCACTTGGCTTGAAAAACTTTGTTTTGACTACCTCTGCTGGACTGGTGATGGATTTTGAGGTCTACAAAAAAAAACAATCGATGCCACTTGCAGATACTGCTCTCGGCCTCGGTCTAAACGTTGACCTCAGGCTGGTGGAAACTCTGCCAAATCACTCATCGGTCTATTTTGACAGATGTTTTACAGCCATTCTACTTTTCGATGCACTACTGGACAAAGAGATTGACGCTACTGGAACAATCATGACAAGCCGCGTTGAAAACATTCACTTTCAAAGTGACACGACGACGAAGCAAGGCGATTTCCAGAAATTCAGAAGAGCGGATGGGAAAGCTGCCATTAATAAATGGAAGGACAGCAAGTCTGTTACTCTTGCCTCTACATGTACCAACGCGAGTCCAGTGGAACCCGTCAAGCGGTGGTGCAAAAAAAACCAAGCGGTACATTGATGTTCAGTACAATGCCTTCATGGGAGGAGATGATGTCTTCGGCCAGCTGTTGGAGTACTAACGCATCTCCATCAAAACCAAGAAATGATAAAAGTCAGCCTTCAAATGGTGGATTTGTCCATTGTGAATGCCTGAATGCAGTACCGTGAGGCTTGCAGGAGGAATGGTGCCCAACGACGTAACACGATGGACCTCCTTCAATTCCGCCTCGAATCGGTGAAGCCCTTTGTGCCTCACCTAAAAGAAGCAGGTCTGACAACAGTGAATCACTCTGCCTTCCTGATGTGCATGTCGACAAAGCCATCAGGGTAGCGAAAATTCCTGGTGTTGACATCTGTATCGACGGTTTTCACCACTTGCCAACGATTGATCCTATCGAAAATGCGAGATGCTGCAGGCTGTCCATCAAGAAGCCGCACACGCTTCAACAAGTGCAACGTGTACCTTTGTTTAACAAGTGACAGAAACTGCTTCAAAATGTTCTATACCAAATTTCAAGGGGCGGAAATTCCACACGAGCCACTATTTTTTCTGTTGAGGAAGTCACTCAAATAAAAGCCCAGCTCACACATATGTAGGCTGGGCATTTTGAAAGCCAAAGAGTGAATAATTTCGTTTCGTGACGCTGGGACAGAGAGACACAATTGTAGAAAAAAGAATCTGTTTATGATGCATTTATTATTTGGTCAGGGAAGGGATAATTATATATATATATATATATATGTGCGTGTGTGTGTTGCAGGTTCGGTTCCTGGCCACGGCAAGTTATTTTTTCACCCACTTTTCTTTCTTCATATTTACCTTGAAGTTCGGTTTAATAACCTCCCCTATACTTTCCTTGGCATTATTGTCTGTTAGATCTCATTATCATTGTGCCGAAACGAGCCCTTAAGTATGCACTTCTTTCCCTCACACACACACACACACACACACACCTCCACCAGAAATGTAGCAATGCTGAGGCAGACAGGTTAAAAAAAACAAGCGTCTTTATTAGGGCGAACTTGTGCCCACGATTCTAAAGACTATGTGGCCGTCAAGTCCAAGTAGCCGAGAGGCACAATATATGTATATATATGTATATGTATATATATATATAAGGGAGCCGATACTTGCACGCATCCTCGAGTTCGTGTCGCTGTCACAGAAATGCCGTAACATCTAGTCACGTTGCATGCTCCTACCAAAGCTACGCAACACTTGTACAGCGTAGGGAACCAACCAAAACCAGAGAATAGCCAAACTTAGCCATAATTAGTACTCATCTTTAAACTACTGGTGGCTCTGCTACCTTCAAAATAAACACCACTGCTGATGTGTCCACCTTGACCACGACGATCGCAAAGTCTTTCAACGTAACTATGTAGAGATTGGAAAGCAGAGCAAGTTGGTATGCATTCATAGTAATCTATGCAGGAGGAGGAGGAGGAAACAACTTTAATGACGCCAAAAATGGGTCAGGTGAGGGAGGGGGTCAGGGAAGAAGACGAAAATGAGCCCTCAGGCCGCTCTAGGTGGCCGAAAGTCCGTGCGCTTCAGTGACCCCTATGGCCCAGCGTACGATCAGGAGTTGGTCGTCCGATCGCGAGCTGCACAGAGCAGCCACCCATCGATCCTGTCGCTCAGCCCCCGCAAAGGGGGGATTCTGCTTGTTTGGACAAGTTCTATGTGTATGATGAAAGTCGACTCGGGGACTCGAGCAGAGGCGACAATGAGGTAAGGTGTCGTGCGGGTGAATTTTAGAATGTATGAAGGGGGATATCAAAGTGCCCGTTTGGAGTCTGCGCCAAACGATTTGTCGAGTCTGGGACAGTGATTTATGGGTTGGTGGGTAGATCATGCAAGAATTGCGGTAATGTAATCTCATGGGAGGTGAATAGACACTCTCCCGCACTGCGAAAAGAAGGCAGACCGACCACAGCCCGGTTCACGAGTGCTCGGCTTGCTCATCGACGGCTGCATTCCCGGGATGGCCACAATGCGCGGGAACCCTCAATATGGTGATTATTCAATGAGGAGGTGGGAGGAATCGTAGGATATGGTGTGCAGGTGTGTGAATTCGACGCATAGCAAAATTACGAATGGCCGTGTTCGAGTCTGAGAAGATATACTCCGCTTGGGTGTGAGCAATTGAACGCAATCGCTGCTTTCCCCTCGATCGGTTGAGCCACTCGGTCAAAAGTGGCGCTACAAAGCAATTTCTGGGCATTGCCTAATACTGCCACCGCAAAGGCAGGACGATGGGAGTATTCTGCGGCACTGACATAAGCGACCGGAGTCGAAGATGCGTTGCGCTTATGAAGTGATCTAACTCTGGCTATCCGCCGGTCGTGATTATGGATGGCATCGGTATTTTTAGGCAATGGCGGTATCAAGAGACTGTCAGACTGTCGCTAATGTGTTCAGGGGCGATATTGTAGAGGTGGTGTGTCCTGTGAGGTTGATTTTGAGGTGCTGAAGGAGCAACCTTCCCATTTCAGATTGCAAAAGTCGGGCATAGTGGCTGATGAGGTGCGCTTCGATTAGTTCCATCAATTGTGCTATGCAACCCCAACTAAGTGCAGAGTTTGCAGCTAAGCACTAAAATCATGGACCACGTAGTTGTTTTTGTCGTGCATTAACTGCAACTGCTGCATGTCTACTGCTGTGACCTACGAACCACATTGTCACTTATGGAGCCCAGCAAAACAAAACAGGTTACAGGCAGCAGAAAAACTTTTTTATTACAAACAGCTGTACAAGATTAAAAAGAATATGAAGGAATTTTAAGCTTTTCAAGCTTTTCTTTTCTGTGTGTGTATTTCGAAGTGTATCGGTACACATCAGAAGGAAACTAAATAAAAGTAAATGAAAATAAAACTTGCACAGTATACAAGCACACTATGGTTCAGTTTGCAACACCTCCAGTAAGATGCAGTCACTATAACGAGCACACGCATTGACAAAAATAGCTCGAACAAACCAAAATATACAAATACAAACTGCCCAGCAGATGTGTATGTTGCGCGTAAGCTTGTCCCCACGAAACGCATCGATCAGTCCAGTGCCAAAGTGCAATGGGGTCTTTTTTTTCTTATTTCACTCCATTTATATATATATATATGTTTTTTTCACATGGCAGCCAACAAAGCCTATGTACAGACATTCTAAAAACAAACAAAAAAACAGAAAAGTCGCGTGTATACACAGCTATGTACAGTTAAACGTACAGCAAATTGCCGAGTCTTTCCCCAACCAAACCACGACATCATTCACTCGTTCTTTTTTTTTTCAATGAAGTGCATTTAGAACTCGCGAGGGCCACCCACATGCGAGCGTCTGGATAGAGTTCATTGAACAGAAAAAGCAAAAGTTAGGTATATGCAGTGCTCTATTTAAATGCACTTGCTAATAATTAGAGAAGGCATTGGGGCATGCAAAAGCAGCCAGTTACTCAGGTACAGCCCAGACTAGTGGATAAAACCTTGAAAATCCTGTCCGCTTTTTGTGGAGAAACAAGGTGAACTGCAAACAATTCCTTCATTGTGCTATAGTCTGTGTGGAAAGTTCGAAGTATTACTAAAAAAAAAATGCCTGCTTTGTTTGTATAAATCAAGACTCCCAAGTGTTTAATCCCTTAATGCAAGTAAACGTGGTTCCAAGTGTTTTGCTAAGAAAGGTGACCGGCAAGAACCTTCCTTGCGAGAATCAAGTTTCCGGGGGTAAGGTGTAATCAGCTGCTGTTCTGTATAAAAGACATCAGAGCCCCCCAATCGACAAATGACAAAGAATAATCCCAATGAGCTCAGCAGAGGCACGCTACCTGGAGAGGTAACTTTCGCTGCAGACAATTTTTGTGAGCGACATGAGAGATGGTATATTCCACTGTCTGCAGTTTACCCAATCTAAACGAGAACTACACCTTATGGGAAAAACCTCTAGCCATGAACCAGCAAGTAGAGAGTAAGTGCCCATAAGGAAAAAGGGCTGGCCTTCTGAATAACGGGAGACCCATCCGCAATGAAGCACTGTCAACACAACTACCATGCATACATATTCCAACCGGCCAGCGTACGGCAAGCGTAGTTCCGAATGCAAAAAGGAGAAAAGCTGTACAGCAAGGATTCTTCATCTACGTCCAGCATCACTTACGTCTATCTGTGTGTAGCACAACCAGGCGCGTTTATTTATAGTTGTATGTATAGCAGCAATGAGTAAATATCACAACACTTTCTTCCAAAGACATTCACAAACAGAGACTACAGCTTTTTTGTATTTTTTTTCTTATTTTCTCACCTTTCCTGTAAAAGTACCCGCCTACTATGAAGTCGTGCTGCTTCTGTAGGCATCAAACTGTCATGAAACGGCTTACACACACAAGGCTATCACACACAGACATGAATAACACACCTCTGGTGACCTCCACAGTAAAATCATGAAGGGGATGCGAACGTTAAAAATCATTAAAAGCGCGAAAAAAAATTTAGTGACCCACTGATTTGTAACTACAGGAATGACTGCTCTATCGGGCTTACGAAGTGCTTGCGCACAAAGCTACCTACGACATACAGAAGGCTAGTGTGATCTGAAGCCCAGCCTAACAAACACCACCTTAAAGCCTTTATGAGAAACAACGGCAAGTACTAGAACACTGCAACATAGGAACCCCACTACCAGTACAGAGCGCACAGCTTTTCTACAAACTCTTTCAAGATGCCACGCTACAATAGACTGTTGCAGTCCACCCACAGAGAACTGGAACTCCGTCCCCAAGGCATCGATTGCTGGTGTGTGCCTACACACCTAAGCACATAGCTACACAGCCAAATACACACTAGTGGCAACACCGTTTTAAAAATGGAAAACAAGCCTACCACCAGTATAAGATAATCAGCGTGCGTATCTCATACATTGTATAGAAATGAAAAGCAGGCACACCGTACATTACATTTCACCGTTTGCACACTTTGGTATTTCCGCTACACAACCATTCCGAAACCATATACGCCCATGAGCCAAAGCTTGCAGTAAACAAGAGCAGTGGCATGAAAAAATGTTGGAAAAGGCTCAACGTTCCACAGGAATAACTTTCCTTTTTTTTTCTTGCTTTTTTTTTGCTTGATACGTGTTGATGTCGATACAAGAGCGCTAATAATATACAACACGATGTCTTCCATCAGCCCCTAACGTTTGTTAGGCATGTCCTTGCTCTGGTAACTCCTCCTGAAGAGCACTCAAAGCAATTTTCCCCAACCACAACTTGGCTTACAATGATGTTACGAGTGTCACTCATAAATGAACTTGGTCTCTCTCTCGTCAACTGTTGTACGTAATGGCGAAACAGAAACATCCCCCTGCACTGTCGGTATACACGTAGTTTTACCCAACTGTCATGACCAGAAATGACAGCCTTTGTAGTACGTCTCATTTGAGGCAATGCTGCAAGCCACTAGGAAAGCTCCCTATATTCTCAGATACATTATATTTCTTCCCTTGAGAGCCTGCCTGCATCTTGTCAAGTGCTTTCAAGAAGCAATATGCACACATGCACCCCACGCAAACCCGAGCCACAAAACGGCCAGGATTGTCATGAAACACTACAATGCTCTGCCGACCTTTAACTACTAACTACTTATGGCGTGCGCCCTATAAAAACATTGGTTAAAGTTAGCATGCCATGCAGAATAGGGTACGAGGGATAAACAGTCGAGAAAAACCAAGTGTGCAAACTGTTTTGATGCCGTTCTTACGAGACACACGATTATTGCCAATACCATCGTATGCCTCAGCAGTGCAACCACACCACGGAAGCGTGGTAAAACAAGGAAACGCAAAAATGAAATTTCCGACAAACGAGCTCACTAAACATTGCAATACCTTCCACACCACATCCTCACTTCAGTCACAGATTTGACAGTGCCAAAAGCCATGAGGCTCTGCTAAATTACTCTGAGCTGCTCAGAAAGGCTTCGAAATGAGCCGACAAAAAAAGAAAGAACTACCTGACAAAACTTGTGGGCCTTTATACGCTGCAATCACAATGCACCGTGGCATTAACATAAAAAATACGAGCATGCGTCTAAACCTGTCAACAGAAGTGCGAAATTGTGCTTTCACTTAAGAAAATGTGACAATAAACAAAACATTAAAGGCCCACTGCAACATGAAAGGTACATGTGAAAGAAGCGTTGACTCGGGTACACTGTTTTAATTATTACATATATTTTTGAAGGGAGCAACAATGTTTAGACTTGATGTTCTTATAATGTTCATTCATATTGGCATTTATTTGTTGCAGAAACCAATCAGCAGCAGCAAGCATATGAAGGTAAACGGGCGAGTAGAGAGATAATGAAACAGGACGAGTGGCGAATAGACAACGTCTGCAGGCACGTCGGGTAATTAGCAGAGCAAAGATTTTGCCGCACAATTTCTCTCCTCATGGCTTTTGGCCCGAAACCCAAGCGGTTCGACTGTCAATTGTTTTTCAAGGGAATCCACTCTCAATCCTCACTCAGGCAATCTGACTAGTCACCTACACAGCAGCAGGGAAATCGACATCCTTAAGCACCACCTATGGTCACTTTGGTCCACAACCTACATTCTTGAAGGAAAAACGGAAAGCTACACTTTCTTCGAGGTCTGCCCTTGTCCCATAGGAATAACCAGCCTATTTAGAGCATGCAGGTCCACCTTTATTTTCGTTTCTTGGAAAAAGCTTCCCGAGAGGGGAGGGGGGTCTGAGGCAGGCTAAAGTCGAGCCTCAAAACAAGAAGCATCAGATACGAAAGTGGCTTTGCTACATATGCTCATACTTCATTACAAACACGTGTGTACCGCGAGATTATATTGATGGCAAGACTATAATGATTTGTTACATCTGCATTTGTTACATTGAAGTTTGACTGAATGCGTAATGGTACATGTCACTGATTGACGCAGACACTGAGCACTAACAACACAGAGGATTAGAATGCGAGTGCATGCAAAAATTATGGGCGATTACTTCCGCGTGACAAAGGCATGTTTCAAAGGGCGCAACACTTTTTTTACAGAATGTCATGAATTGCCGGATGCGATTCTCCCCTTTGCCGTGTGGGGGTAAGGGTTGTTTTTATCACAACTTCTTTAGAGAACAGCTCTCTCGGGTACTAGAAAAACTTGGGTAAGGTAAATAAATTAGGGAAGGGGTAAGCTCCATGATTGAAGGCAATGAGAAGACAAGGGTCTGGGAGGGTTGGGAGGGGGGTAAATTAGACAGCACACGTTCCACACTTGTGGAACTTCGACGTGGTAGCCACAGCGTTTGAGGAGCTTATTTTTCGAAATGGGCCAGATGCAAAACTACAACTAGCTCAAATAAGGCTCTACAGGAACATACATAGTCTAAACATTCCTCTACACACATCACTAATAAATTGACAACATTACTTTATTATTACTGTTTTCAAGAAAAGTTGAAAGTATGTATGTGCCAATACAGCCTTACTTGGCATGTTTCGGTTTTGGATTTGGCCCCTTTTGAAAAAAAAGCTACTTATTTGTAACACACCCGTTTTCTACTATTGCAGCAAGGCCTAAAAAAAGCGGTATCAGGTACCAACAGAGAGAAAGTCGGTACTCTGCAAACTATCCGATTGCAAGGTATGCACCGAGAACGACTGAAAGAGCAAAATAAACCAAGCGTTGCAAACGAACAACTGTGGGATTGAGTTTAGGAATAGACTACTTGTAAGAATAGAGGATATGAAAAGTGTGATTTGGTGCATACACTAGCTAGGCAGACAGGTGTGCCCATTAGCATGCTAGTCGGTGCGTAACCTGCCACCTTAAGCATGTTAATCAGCGAAATTCGTTATTTCAGCTAGGTAACAAAAGTGGGAGGCCAACAAGTGTTTGCAGAAGTTGTACATGTGTTCGATGACATCCTTACATTAGCATTACCACAAAAAGTTGCTTAGTTGCCAACACCTTAGGTAAACAGCAGCTCTTGCACAACTTTTAGACGTCTCGTACAGCAAACACAGGCAAGAAAGGAAAAAAAAAAAGCCCTCGCCCATTTGTGGTCCCTCCCCCTTTTTTTTTTGTGTCAGGGATCTCGCGACCGCAACAATACGGTGCAGAAAACGAGATCTAGGGCCAGGGTGCCACTTAATTAAAGGAACTGCCAAAGCGTTGAAGAAACTGAAGTTTGTGCAGCAATTTTTTTTTAATTTTTTGTTGCTAGGATGACAAATGAAGAATGCAGAAATGAGAAAAGAAAAGTCACGCATGAGTCGTGAGTGAGTAATGTCTTTGCAAGAGTCCATGAGAAAAAGCCCTGCTCTTGTAACACTAAAAATAGACCTTGAAAAAAAAAAAAAACGCACACACACACAGGAAGCTTGGAGGGCGATGATGAAACTAATGAAGAAATGAACAAGGTCGCTGAAGTCCATCCGAAGCGACCACCATCAGGCACGGCGACTTGTCAGGGCAGGCAGCAGCAGCGCAAACGCACCACAATGTCACGCAAGGAGGGGCTGACACAAGGGAGGCTGAGGAACGGTGCACCATGCTTCCTCCTCAACAGCTGGAGTCGTAGGCGCACACGAGGCCTTCGCTCTGGAGTACGTAGAGCCGCTTCTCCACCGCGTCCTTGTCTGCAATTCAAGATGGAGTGCACAGCTTAGCGTATGTTAACGAGATTGACAGGCAAACCATAAAATAACAAACACAGATAAACAGGTTGCTATACCAGCTTAGACAGTTGGCTCGTCTACCTTTATTTCACTGGGTATTCTGCTAACTATTACAAAAGCAAAAGAGAAATATCATAGAAAAAGGGCTCATATTGACCGAAACCTGAAGGACCAGTATAAAATGTTCTCCAATTAACATGAGTTTCATTCATACACTGACCAATGAACAGAAGTGGTGCAGCAGACTCACTGAATAAAACCTGAAGGAACGTTGGAAATATGTACAGTTTAACAAGAGTTCCGTTTACAGTGAAATGGACAAAGGTGCACAGTTCGAGCACAGCTGACTCATTAAAATGAAATATGAAGGAACTTGGGAAATATATTCCGTTCGAGCTCCGTTTACTGAGAAATGAACAGAGGTGGAGAATTCTAGTATGAAACCAGTCATATAAGATATGGTTGGTCCATTTAAGTAGCAGTTCTGTTTATGAGAATTGCATTTTCTTAGACTGCGCTAAACCAATGTTTCTTTGAGGCAGCAATTCCAATAACACGCCACATCTATAATACAAGTCTCCGAGTATGACTCGCCTAATGCCAGTGACTGTGCAACAACGAATGTTACAGGTCCATAAACAAGGGTACAGAGACACCCTACTCAGTACACAACAACCTCGTTATGTAAAAAATAAAGCAAGAAAAACACAACATCCAGTAAAACATTCAAACATGCAATACACTTTCACTGATAAACTGCGCAGTTTCACGTGATATCACGAATGTTGGCAACAAAAAATTTTACTGAACGGGAACGCACCAATGAGGTTCTGTTGTACAGTCGCGAAGAAAAACACATTTCTTGCCTCAGGTAATAAGAGATGTTTTAAGTACCCTGCAACTTCCTCGTGTGTACAAGCTTGGTCTTATACGATCATGGATTCAGACTAAATTGGCTCGGTAGGGCAGAGGAGTGGTAGCGTGTGCTCAGAAATAAAGTGAGGCAAGGCACTCACATCGGTTGAGCAATGCCCTGTCGTCGTCGTTTTCCACTTGCTGTGCCAAGCTGTGCAGCAAGATCTGGGCCGTCTGGTAGCGCCGAAAGCACTGCACAGTAAGAGAAAATGCCACAGCTCGGTCAGCGCTTGCTCGAGGTAATGTCCGTGCCTCGGCAACAAAACTAGCAAATAGAAGTGCAGAAATGCTATCCTGAAGTACTGTAGATCCTTCGAGTTTCACATACATTGGATTAGCTTCAGAAACCTCCTACAGTGGTAACCAGATCAAACAAATTGGATGAGTCGATAATAGAAAAACTAGGAATAGGTGCAGTGACAATCACTTCTAAACCTTAGCCATCAAAGGCGCAAGCACAACACTTTAGCACAATGAGATGTTTGTAGGCAAATACACCTAGTGTTCATTTCATATGCAATTATAAATTCTGAGCTAGTAGTCGGCTAGTGCATTGTTTTCAACCTAACTATATGGTAAAATAAATATATACTGCTTAAGCAAGCACCTGACAATTTTAAATTATTCAATTACATTGAGAACAAAGCTATTTCTATCCAATTTGTAAAAAAAAAAATGCAATATTTACAACCTCTTACCACCAAACAATGGCAGAGCACATAATTTCACAGGTACTTATTAATATGTGTATAAATATGGTAGTAGGGTAAAATGTAGCACTCTGTGGCTGACGACGCAAAAACTGTAAAAGATACAATGAATAATAAACCATCTGGCCCCTTATTGGGCCAATTTATGCTCAGCAAGCTGAAGCACATGCTAGCCAGTTTTGACAGAGGCACACTTGCCTCGGTAAGGGTACTGGTGACTGCTTCGCGGCTGTGTTCACTCGACGTGCCGTCCAGGGCACCGTTGTACTCGTCCGTGTGAACATACAGCTCACCCATAGCAGCCGTCTGGCACTGCGTGGAAAGAGACGCCGTTCAGTAATCTAGTCAATGAATTCAACATAAAAAACAACTGCACGGGGCACTACAGCTGCTGCGGTGAAAGCTACGAATGAATTTCATCAGCAGGCAGTTCGTTAATCGGCATTCATATCTAAACAACCAAAGTCTGCACAAGCTCCGCCTCCTTGAGTGGGGCATCTCTTCTGACAGCCAGGAATTATATACGTGGCCTCACGTTTCACAGCAAAACTCCACGACCACTGGAGCAGATGCAGAGGGTGCAGTTGCACACAAGTCGTCGCATTTATTGGAAATGTCAGCAAATGTAACTTCACGAAACTTTCAAGTTATTACAATAACTTGAATTAAAAAAATAAAACTGTTAGCATGATACAGGACAGAGTGAAAAAATAAAATAGAAAGTACATTTATTCAAACAACGAAAATTCAGGAACGGGCTCACTCATTGCTGTAAGGTAAGAAGCAGCTTTCTGTGAGAAGTATTGTCGGGTAATCACTCATAAAGAGAGTCATTACTAAAATAATTGTGCGTATCTTTGTTTGATAATTACAGCCGAACTCTGCAACAACGAACTCCGCTGCAGCTAAGATTTCACTGATACTGCTACATGTATATTGGGCACAGGGACAAAATAAAGAAAGCGTAAGGAGAGAAAGAATGGGTGAGGGTCTTCAAGGACTATGCTGAACAGCTGTTTTGACAATTGCACCCAACACTACTCTTTTACAACCTAACGAAACATACAGGTTCTGTCCACAAACCACCAAGCGCATGCCCTTCGCATCTAAGTGAGTCACGGTTGGAGCGGAAACCAGCATGCACAAGCGGTTTTTTTCTAAGCCTATGTAAGCACTATGCACATTAAGAGTTAGGTTCATCTTTGTTATTTGAAATACACTCAAACGTCAATATAACGAAACTGAATATAACAAAATATTGGTTATAACAAACTAAATGAAAAAAAGTCTTGCAATGGACAGTGTTAGGAATAAACCTCTATAACGAATTTTCGGATACAACGAACCAATTTTTATGCAATATGCAACTGTTATAATGAGGTTGGAGTGTATTGTGTTTCCATGAGTAGATGTGTCAGAATCCTCAATGGAATTTACCAGGATGTGCGAGACATATCAGCCAAATATCAGCGACACAAATGTGTGTCTGCGTGGTCAAGTGAAATATCTGAAAGACCAGAGACATGCTTGACGTCACAAGAATGTGAGCATTACTGAATGGAGCACATGTGCAATTTCCCTGTGGGAAGGACAGATAATGTAGTTATAGGAAGAGCTGACATTTTATCTCATGTTGTCACCAACAAGATATTCGCGACAACAAGTATCTCTAGGGGTGTGCGAATATGAAATCTTTCGAATACGAACCGAATACGAATATTCATGTTCGAATATCGAATATCAAAGGACAAATGCCTCTACAGTAACAATAATTTAAGATGTATTTATCTAAAATAATACACAACAGCCTGTCTGTTAACACAACATACACTGTTATTTGGAACACAATGCAAGTAATGACTAGCTGTTATCATGAAACATAATGACTACATGTTATCATGGAGGAATATGAGTTGCTCCACATGATCAGGCAGGAGGCACTCCCTCCGAACAGAGACAACCTCCCCTGCCACTGAAAAGGCACGCTCGTTTGGAACTGAAGTGGCTGGTATGGGCAAGTACTTGGGGCAAAGCTTTGCCAGACTGGGGTATCTGAAGGTGCTCACAGTCCGCCACCAGTCACATGGGTCACTGTCTTTCTTCAGTAGGGCTTCTTCAGAATACGCTTTAATTTCCCATTCTGAAGTAGACAGTGGTGTACTTGGTACTTGATTATTGGCAAGATTATGAAATGCACTCCAAACTTCAGAGGATGGCTGCACACACTGTTGTGGCTCCTGCATTTTTGCTGCTGGCTGCACGACTTCCACAGCAGGGCATAGGGCAACATCCTGAAGCACCAGATCTTTCAGCCACACCAACTTTTGTTTGTTGTTTCTGAATACCGTTGACTTGAAGCGTGGGTCCAAAAACATAGCCTAGCATGCTTCTTTGTCCTCGGTATATAAGAGGAATCTGGTATTGAGAGACCTTGCCAGTTCCTTATGAAAGCCTGTTGTGCCGCTAAAGTTGCTGAGGCAACTTAGCATACCAAAAATAATTGGTATCAGAGTGGAAAGTGATGGGTATTTGTCTGCACTAGTTATCACAGTTGCATCATATAAGGGCTTCAGTGCATCCAGATATTCAAGAGCCTCTTTCCATTCTGCTGAGCAGAGACCATCAATGCTGCAATGTGACGTTGCCAGCTCAACAGAGACAGCCTCCTTCAAGTCCAAGAGGCGGGACAGCATTAGGTATTGGCTGTTCCACCTCGTATCTACATCTTGCACCAGACGAAGTGGATCCTTGCCCATCTTCTTCTGGTACTCATCTAATCTCTTTTGCGCAGACGAGCTGTGCTTATAGTGGCCCACGATGTGCCTCACTTTCTTGCACAGACGGTCAATTGACGGTGTGTTGGAGATTGCATCATGAATTGCTAGCTGCAGGGTGTGGGCGAAACACGCACGCTCAGTCCACGGGAGCCTTCTGACCGCGGCACGGATGTTGCATCCGTTATCTGTGGCGATGTATTTGCGGCAGCCATCCGGTATTTCCCATTCCGCGCACATCTCGACAAGCATTTGCCCAATGTTTTCGGCGGAGTGGCTAACAAGTTCCATGTGGCGAGTGTTAAGCGTGAACCGCTTCATCCTAAATCTTGGAGTGAGAAGGTGGCAAGTGAAGCTCACATAACTCTCGGCGCGTGATGTCCACATGTCGCTGGTAAAGGTGACTGTAGATGTTCCCCCTTCAAAAGCACTGCTGAGCTCGTCCTTCACTTTCTTCCGTGTGTCATCAAACAAGCGCGGAACAAGGGTACGTGAAAGCGTGGTGCGCGACAGTAGGCGATAGTTAGGCACAGCCTCTGCCATGAGTTCCTCAAATCCGCGGGCTTCAACAAAACTATATGGTTGCAAATCAAGCGCTACCATGGCAGCCACCTTGGCATTGAGTGCTTGAGTTTTCTTTTCCGACAAAGGGTCAGTACGGTGCACAAAATCAAATATCATTGACTGGTCTTTCTCCGGCGCACCTGCTGCAGTCATCCGGTACTCCATCGCGGTTGGGTGCTGTTTTAGATGGTTAACAAGAGGACTAGTCGTACCCGTCGGCGTTTTAAGTGTTGCGCCGCATGTCTTGCACTGCGCCAACGACGACGATGTCTTCACAAAGTGCTTCCAGATAGCACTTCTTTCCCTTCGTTTCGGCCCGTGTCTTGATTGTTCCTCCGTTTCGCAGGCGAGTCGTCATAGCCTCCGCTATCTGCCATGACACTTATGGCAGCTAGCAGAACTGATCGTAGCGGCTAACAGCACTAGCCAATGCCGCTGACCCTACTAACGTAGCACTGTGCACTACATGGCGCACTACCACTACTCATGCGCTCTGGTGGCCAGCACGAAAAATATTTATATGCATATACAGATATATAAAACTGAAAGGTCGGCGCATGATTACCGTTTCATATATTCAATATGTTTAGAATGCAGCCCAAGTTATTTAATGCATACTTGCCGATATACGACATAACTTAGCAATAAATTCCCGAGTTGGGACTAACCGCTTTCGAGCTTGTTGTATAACTGTGCGACTGCTCACGTGCGGAACTTCCTCGAAAAAGAAAATAAATGCGACGTCATGGTACAAATTACCACTAGAACTCTTTTTGTCACTTATTATGTTGTATGTATGTTATTATGTTGTATGTATATGTATGTATGTTGTATGTATGTAACCGAAGCGTTTGCCGACGGTGACGAAGTTTCTGCTTCAGCACGCGCGTGCACGGTCGTGCGTTATCAAGCGATGTTTTGATGAAACAACGCGGCAACGGTTAAGCTTCGTTCCTGCACACGAGGTCCCGCATAGTGAACGTGTGGTAGTGCACCACGTTACGGCGGCATAAGAAAAGCGTGCAATACGTTTACACGAATGCCAACTTTGCTGCTGATTGTTGACCGTCGCTGGCCGACATAGTGCCTCCGTGCACTTCCGACGCTTATCGCCCCTCTGGGCAACGTTTTAATATGTCTGAACCCAGCAGAAATATTAAAGAAGAGTTATTTTCTGCATGATAATCCAATCAAATATTCCATATTGTCGAATATTCGAAGTGATTCGAATATTCGAACTTTCCGAATACACTTTTTTCGAATCGAATACGAATAGTGCGAATTTAATATCCGACGAATATTCGAAACTTTCGAATATTCGCACACCCCTAGTATCTACTTGTCCATAAATGGAGACTGACGCTGAGCGCCCGGCTCACCATATCGATGGCATAGTTGTAGAGCAGCCGGTCGGCCGTCAGAGGGGGCACCGAGGTGGTCGATGCCGAGGCCTGCAGCACCCCCTGCTGGGACAGCCGTCGGCAGCAGTCCATGCAGCGGTGCAAGGTCTGCTGCATGTTGCGCAGGAGCTGCCGCACACTCGACGATGCCCTGAGCCGCCTCTGAGCCACCTGGTCACGGGCCAGGTTGAGTGCAGAGGCCAGAAGCTGCACAGCCCGTACGTACAGCACCAGCTGCTCGGCACGTCGATGGCCCTCACCGAGTGCACGGGCCACCTGTTCCTCTGGAGACGAGCAGCACTGCGTGCAAAGGGGACAGAATGACATTCGCCGTTCGTATTTTCATGCGCCAATACTGCAATAAAAAATCATCAGGCATACCATGGCAAGGGACTTCACACAAATTCTAAGCATCCAGCGGTTCTCTTACAACGGCTGACGTTTCTGTTTTATGCAATGATTGAGCTGGCAAAACAAGCTTCAAATACAAGCTGAAAGGTAGTGACATGGAAGTCATCCCACAAGAGATTTGTGCAGTCAGTGGTCCGTCTCTCCCCTGTACACTTTTACAATTGCACAATATGAATTTCACACTAGTATTCCCAGCAAAACCATACCATTTTGGTATGGTTGAGACAGGAGCCAAGACGACCATTGTTGCAAGAACGAAAGCCTCCAAGATCACGTGAGGTTTAGCGACTTTTCCATTAGGAGAAAAGTGTGTGCACTGTGGAAAAGACAGTTAACTACAGTGCAGTTTTGTGTTGAGCATGCTGGCACCATCATAATGTGCTAAAACATCAGCCAGAGAAACTCTGTTGCCAGAGGAACCGTACCTGCCGCCAGTACATGGACTCGGTCAAGGCAGCGGCCAGAGGCTCCGCCTTGGATCGCGCCAGCTCCACGATACATCCCACCAGAGCATCGATGAAGTGCAGCTTCGCCAGGGTCTCGTTGTGCTCCCGCTACGCAAATGCACAAGGAGCAATGATCCAATTGCATGTGCAGAAGCACTTGCTCAACCGCTTGACCATATTGTTGACACCAACCCAGTTTGAAAATTTTGGCTGCGTTCCTTTCACAGTAAATAATTCATCACGGCTAGGACTATGTGCACGAATACAGCACCCTGTCCAACTTTGGTCATGTTGCCACAGGATAAGCAGTCTAAACAAGGATAAACAGTCTAGACAATCTTATGCCTCTATAAAAGTTTGTGGTGTAGAGGGTCTACAACATCGAAGGTGAACACCACATCAGTATTCAAGCCGCTAATACCCGTGCCACACGGGCATAGAAAATGACATTTGGTGGCGAAGGCCTTCAGTTCCCGAATGACATTTGTTTCGCCGGCGCTGCTACACGTCCAAAGCGAATGACATTTGACTTGATGATGTCGATCACAGCACCTTCCAAGTGAGCATTCAGTGAATAGCAATAAAAAAATTAAGAAGCATTTACAAGCTTCATACACATCAGATAATCATCAAATGTAGAAATAAGCGTATTACGCTGTCCTAAGTTTTAGTTTCTTGCTTTGTTTTACAACGTTGCAGCCGACCGTAGCAACCTAAGCCAACACTAGTCAGATCCACAGCGTAAATAGAAAATGGCGCCTGTCGCATCTCTCAGAAGAAGATGTTCGCAGAGTTCGTTTTTTCACGGCAGCACTTGTGTGTGGGAAAACGTTAAATCGTCAAAGTGGGAACTGATGAAAAAAGCAGAGAAAGTCGCGGAGAAAGTGAACTCGATGGCGATGAAAATACCAGTGTTGCATGCTTGTTTGCCAAAGTTTCGCTAAAATTGACAAGCGTTTCATTATCAATACTTTATTTTCTTCGTATAACGTTCAAAGCATCTTTTCAGGACTTTACTGCAAATAAAAGACGGGAAATTTCATTTTTAGCTCAATATGATTTGTTTTATATACTTTCAGGTAAATCGCACTTCGCGAGCTGTGTCGTCGAGAGTAGGCATTTCTCAGTCAACAGAGTTCTGGCGAAGGCAGTTGGTGGCGAATGGCATTCGAATGGCATTAGGATGAATGCCATTTTGTTCGCCCGTGTGGCACCGCGCGAATGGCAATAAATCTGAAGGCATTCGGGGGTAAATGCCATTTTTTCTGCCCGTGTGGCACGGGTATAAAACTAGGACATGTATTTTGCGCCCCTAGGTAAATGTCTATTAATGTTTAATCATGGCGTTGATAAACACAACAATCATTTTCCCAATAGCGTATTGAAAATCAGTTTCTGTGAGTTCTCGAATAATAACGAAGCGTTCACTTTTGATGATGTGGACAACCCTGTACAGTGGAACTTCGATTATATGTCCCTCGGTTTTGCGACGACCCACATTTTACGATGAATCGGTTAGGTCTCGGCAAAATCTCCATAGGAATATTGTATTAAAATCTTGGTTATACGATGCAGTTTCATGCTGACCCCGCATTTTACGACGAATTTCAGATTTCGCCCAAAAGAAAAAAGAACGCCTTTACTCGAATCGAGTGTGGACCAAATATTCACGAGTGCAAAATATAAACTTTCGTTCCCCTAGATTGACGATTTGAAAAGTAGAGAGCCAAACAGATGTCTTCTTAGAATGGAAAATTTGTTTTCCTGGAAGTTCATACGCTTCTACACACGTCGCAATCCCTTGTGCACGTGTCTGGGCCATCGCCTAGTCAAGTTCTATTCACACAAAGTAACTCCAGCCGGCCTAAAAGCCGATATTTTCACGTTTGCGGTCCATGGAAACAATTTCTGGTCGACATACGGCTTATCTCCTGCCTTTGTCGCACTCGCAGTCACAGGCTCGGGGACACATAAGGGCACGACGCAGCTGTTTTCAATGTGAAAGATTACTTTCACGTGACGTCGACGTTCATACTTACAGCGGGACATCACTACTTGCACTTCACAAGACCACAAGTTACTATGTGCATGGCTCAGTCACACACGATGGCATTCTATGCACACTCGTGGTCGGTCGCCATCATGTGATAGCGATGACACAGTGTCCGACTCTTTTGACGGGAGGCTATTGGCAACACGGTTTCGATACCATTTTCAGGCGCAGGCAATTTTCAGACTATTTATCGGTAGAAAGATGCGCATTAGGTTCAATTAGTTTTAAACTTGAGAATAGAGATTCGCTCACACCTCTTTCAAGAGTCGCTGGCAAGAATAATTTAAATTTATTCTACCTTTCTAGCAGAGGCACAAGGTCGTGCCGTGGGCTTATTGAGGCGGTCTATATCCATTTTGGGGGGGGCAAGGCTGAGTGTCATTGCTATATTCTTAGTTTTTTCGATTATACGACGATTCTGCATGGTCCCCTGAAAGTTGTCGAATCGGGGTTCCACTGTAGTGTGCTCGTACTGCTTGAGTATTGCAGCTACAGTACATATTACATATTTGGTAGAGCTTAAACTAACGCCGAATAAAAACGTTACTGTCAATTGTTTTGGTAGTTGGTACAATCCTAGGTACCCAAACTACAAGTCCCATCATGTGGTAGATTGATTCCTAAACTGGAAAACATGAAACAAAGAAAGCAAGAGAACTTCCATCTTAATGCCCTTACACGAGCTCAGAGAGTGAACAGCAATACATTACTTTTCACTGAATACACCGATACCTCATTATAAAGAAATTGCATCTTACACAAAAATAAGTTTTTATTTCAAGAAATTCATTATGTAGGAATGTTCCTACTACTGCATCTGTTGCAAGAATATTAATTTATTTTGTTAAATCCGGGTTTGTTATATCAGGGTTTCAGAGTACTAACTGCTTTAAGAATCATTGTATAGAAATAACCAACACACAATAAGAGCACTTTCTTGATCCACAACATCACACTTGCAAGCACCGCGACATGGCCCCATTGATAATGGGGCCATTGCACACACATTTTGCACAGACAAGCTCACAACAGACGCAGATCACAGAGTTATACTTAGCAAACTGGTGTGCGCAAATAAAGACAGGAACACAGATAGTATGAACAGGGACTAAAGTGTGCCCCTGTTCAGTCTATCTGCTATACGAGCCCCTGTCTTCATTGGCAAACACCAATTTACCTTGACATATGAACCAACTCGCACAGCTACAAGTGTTATTGAGTACTTAGCAAATTATATGAAAAACTTTTAACAAGTTGGTTTTTCTGGCAGGTGGAAGCCCCAGATTAGGTGCTGCGGCAGGCAGTGAAAGCACAACTTACATCCAAGAGGGTCTCTTGGGGCAGCTCGGGGGGTGGCACGAAGTTTGGTGGCTCGCCCGTGGGCGGCGAAGTGCCAAAAGGAAAGCAGCACGGGGCCACTGCCGTGGCTCCCGGAGAATTCAGCCGGCCCCCCGGCCAGTCCCCACTGCCCGGAAAGAATGCACCCATGCTGCCTGGCGGGCTGTACGAGCCTGCACAGCAGCCGTCAAACACTAAAATTAATACATGCAGCTGAGGATGCAAGCAGGGGAATAACAATGGCTAGTGCATCCATTCACAAATACCCATTACTAATGCCCTCTGCAAGCAATAAAAACCTCTTTAGTACCAGGAGTGCCACAAGAGTGTCTCTGCTTAAGCAAACTAGTAATTATATTGCATCATCAACAGAGCATTAAGGGGGGATGAGGGTCTTAAAATGGCACAAAATTTTGAAAAATGCTGACTTTCAAAAGTTATGATTTGAAGCATTTACAGTCGAAAGTAAGTTTTAAAAAAATATGTTATGGCAAAATACCATTTTTTTTTGTTAAAAGCTTAATATGTGAAATTGCAAATGTTTTTAAAACTGGAAATGTAATTTTCCTGGCATTGTTATTTTTGTAAAGTGAATCTGTCTTACGGATGTTTTGAGCAAGTTTATGTGAAGATATCTCAAAAAACTTGGTATCATTCTTTTCCGCAGCACTTGAACTGCAGGCTAAAGCTTTTCTCTTTCTCTTAATCTTGACAGAATTGTAATTATATAATAAATATCAGCTAAAACTGAAAGCTCATTTTTACCTTCCAAGTTTAAAAATGATTTCTGATCAAAGAAATAACAGTTTTGAATCCACTTTGCTTTAGCCCGCGGGATGAATCTTTTAGAAGAAACATGTAGTTTTGAAAACCAATTTCTTTGATTGCGAGTTATTATAACGACCCGTAAGAAATTACCTAATAGAGATGTTTGAGATCTGTTTGCAGATTTGAAATCTCAATTCAATGGTACACACACATGGTAAATTTCATGACATCAGGACAATAAATAAAGAAGTTTTCTTTAAGACCCTCGTCCCCCTTTAACGGAACAGTAAACAACCCCGAGGTCCAAAAATTTTAATGAAGATAAATAGGCGCGCTTTTGGTAGATGAAAATGCTGCCGCAACAATTTTGCGAACACGTGCTATGGTAAGGAAGCTACAAGGGTTAGAACATCCATTTCAGCTTGTTTCAAATTTTCGTGCTGCCGCTGACCACCCGTTGCCGAAGCCCATCGTTGCAACTCCGCCCACTTTGGCAACGCGACACGGCGTTCAAGATACGTCATCGGGGCGCAACCAACGACCGAGAGGGCAGCCACATTTCAAGGTTAAATGTTACTGTCACGTCAATTCATCATTTCCGATGTTTAAGGGGAGACGCTCCTCGAAAGCACTTTTTGTTTTGTTATTCAACTTAGAGCTTCAGAAATTGGACCACTGATGCAGTTTTTCCTCCTGATTCCAAATCTGTAATCAGTTTTTACATAAGTGCAATAGTTTGGGAGTTGTGTTTCAAGTAATGGTGAAACTTGATAAGTTTTCCGGGAACTTTCGCGCATACTAAATGTTCATGCAGAGAGTTGTTCAATGGCTCCTTTTGCTCCCTATTAGCCATAGAGTGCCGATATCTAGCTAGAAATTGTGCTCCAACTTTGAAACTATGAAAAAAAACATCTGTGTAGCAAACTACCCTTTTTTTTCCACTCGACCACCATTAAATTTATTAATAGATATTTACAGCTGATAGGTTGTGCTGATTCAAGTAGATATCGGCACCCTACGCACTCTCCTCAATGTGTGTGCCAAATTTCGTCGTCGTATGACCATTCTAAGTGCCCGAAACACTTCCCGCAAAAAATGCAAATTGGCCAAAATTGCGAAATGAGAAAAACGCGTTTGAAAGTTTGAAAGTCTGTATTTACAAAAATGAAAAACGCAGTAGCACGAAACTTGTGCTGAACACATACACACATGTCCAGAGGGAATATCAGTTGTCTAAAACTCTCCAGCACCGTAGGTTTTCCCTTCCCGGCTGGTGCGGCAGGACTCTTCCACCCGGGCCCTCTTGGCTGCACTGCGACGGTGTGCCCTCGCCTCAGCGGTCTGACGCACATTCATCTTGTGCATGCGCATGCTGTCTCGGCGGTCGCTGAGGGTAACCAGGGCCTCCGAAGGAAGCACCCCAAGCTCTTCCAGCACCTTTTCAAAGCTCGCGTGGCCCCGGTTGAACCACAGGACTGCAATGGCTGTGGCTGTTTCCACAGCAGTCCGGGAAGCAAACCGGGTCTTTGGACACAGCAGCCATATTTTGCTGTTCAGGGACTCGGCCGCGTTCTGTGTCTTGCCGTGGAGGCACCGGGCAAGCAGCTTCGCATCTGTGAGACGCTTGTAGATTGGGAGGACTGCCAAACCCTGGGCCTTGGTCAGGAGGGGGGTGTGGCACGGTGCAGGCTGGCCCTGCGCCTCAGCACGTC